TCTATATCAGTGCTTGTCAAGTTATGGTTGTTTGTCCACTGTAATTAATATCAGTGCTTGTCAAGTTGTGGTTGTTTATCCACTGTAATCTATATCAGTGCTTGTCAGGTTATAGTTGTTTGTCCACTGTAATCTATATCAGTGCTTATCAAGTTATAGTTGTTTGTCCACTGTAATTAATATCAGTGCTTGTCAAGTTATGTTTGTTTGTCCACTGTAATCTATATCAGTGCTTGTCAAGTTATGGTTGTTTGTCCACTGTAATCTATATCAGTGCTTGTCAAGTTATGGTTGTTTGTCCACTGTAATTAATATCAGTGCTTGTCAAGTTGTGGTTTTTCGTCCACTGTAATCTATATCAGTGCTTGTCAGGTTATGGTTGTTTGTCCACTGTAATCTATATCAGTGCTTGTCAAGTTATGGTTGTTTATCCACTGTAATCTATATCAGTGCTTGTCAAGTTTTGGTTGTTTATCCACTGTAATCTATATCAGTGCTTGTCAAGTTATGGTTGTTTGTCCACTGTAATCTATATCAGTGCTTGTCAAGTTATGGTTATTTGTCCACTGTAATCTATATATCAGTGCTTGTCAAGTTATGGTTGTTTATCCACTGTAATCTATATCAGTGCTTGTCAAGTTATGGTTGTTTGTCCACTGTAATCTATATCAGTGCTTGTCAAGTTATGGTTGTTTATCCACTGTAATCTATATCAGTGCTTGTCAAGTTATGGTTGTTTATCCACTGTAATCTATATCAGTGCTTGTCAAGTTCTGAAATCAATTCCTTCTCATACCATGTCCCGAACACATCGATTATTTACCTGTTAATTTGTCTCATCAGTTGACGAGTTTCATCTATCTCAAGCAGGACTTGCTTGTTTGCCTTGTCATACCTTCTCAGTAAATAAAAGGACCAATGACAGGTTTTGTAATCTGCCTGTCGACCTATATTCCCTGCCAGGTGGCGTTAGTCGTCTTGTCTATGCACATCCTTCTGTCTTATTCAATGGCAGTCATTGCACGAGCAGATATCTTTCTACGCCATAATGCAAAAACACCAAGAATTTAATTTATTGGTATCTCTGTCTCGCCCTCCCCCCCCCCACACCCTCCCTTCAAACTGTCTTCTTGCCCCTGTGGCACAGTCGTGCCTATACATCCCCCAAGAAATAGATGTGCCTAAGTCGGCCAAGTGAATGAATATAGTTCGTATCTCTCTTCAATCGTACTCAAGAACAAGGCCAGTGATGTAACAATTACACAAGAGCTGTTTATTTACAATATTCCAGTCATAGAGGCTTCATAAATTCAATAGTATATGAACACTGTATTATCTGGATACAGGCTATTCGTATGACTCTACGAGTTCCTTAACCACTGTTCTAGCTAAACTCCAAGTTTAACATATACCTTCTAAACGAAGTAAATCACTAGTTTTCTCCTAACCGGTCTTTCCAGCGGTTCAGCCCTAACCTGTCCTATCAAGCGGTTCCGTGGCTAACTGTCCTCTCCAGCGGTTCCGGGACTAACTTTATTCCCCCGCTTTCCCACCTTTCTGGCGTACCCTCTCCATCACTTCTCTGTCACCTGTCTTTGGTGGTCACGTCTGGATGAACGTATCTCACAGTTCACGGGCACTCGTCGAATGTTTCATCCCTCACTGTCAGATGTCATGGCGGTGTGTTCTGCATAGCTGGCTAGGCCATGGCTTTCTAATCACCTATTTCTGTCATTTCACACAGTGATGGATTAGTACGCTGTGTGGTGGTCTGAAATGTATGCTTGTTCATTTAACCCCTTTTCTGCCTATATTTCGTTACACCCCGAGTTACTCCAATTTACTTCCTCTTGCTTTGGAGAAACAAAACAAAAATAAAATTAAAGTAATAAAAAAGTCTACCACCATTTAACCCCAAATCCGGTTATTTTGTGTGTGAAGACACACAAATGCCCGTCATTTGGGACAGAATAATAATCCGCTAACTATTTGAAATGACAGGGCGTGTTTTTAAATTCGATTTCTGTCATTAGCTTCACCGTGCAGTGGATGGCTCCACTGTCCCATAACAGTGGATGGATTATATAATTAGCTCAAATTGTCTAGTTGATTGCTTACATGCCCGAGGAGCAAGAGAACTGGCTACCTCAAATGTCAGCGTAATTAACTAATGAACAGTGTTAGTACCAATGTTCACCACTGCTCATTTACATGGCAACGGTTGCCAGTTGCTGGGAAGTTGCGTCAGTGTAAATCTTTGAAGTCTTAATCTAGAAGTAAAGGACCCTTTTCCACGGCCTGTAAGCGTATAGGGCCCATAAGGCTAGACCTAAATTTTTATAGACCAATCTGCACAAAATACGTGATTGGGTCAGCATCACGCCGGTCGCCTTTACTTCCCGAGACTGAACCCGGTACCCACTCAAGGCTGGGTCGACCTGGAAGTCAAGGTCATTTAAACAAAAAAGGTCTGGCTATGCCGGGAAGCGAACCCACAACCTTCCGATCCGCACGCGCGCGTCTAGCCGCTACGCCATAACGACTCCCTTTCTTAATCTACAGGTCTTTCAAATGTGAAAACCTAGATACTTTATCTATTTGAAATAAACACCACAGTGCGTGTGTGTGTGTGTGTGTGTGCGCGCGCTTTTGTGTGTGGGTGAGTGAGTGTGTGTGTGTACGTTGGCAATCTATTGATGGTTGGAGACGATAGTCAGCTACAGAACCCAAACAAAAGAATTAAAGTGAAACGTTAGAGTACCCGCAGTTTTGCTTTGACATCTAACGTCCTGTCTTCTCGCCCTTTTCTTCCGTCTTCCCTGACATTCGACTATTTTCTTGTTATTTGTTGCGTCATTCTATAAGTTACCTCTCTATGTTCTTTACATTGCAGCATATTATATATTTCGTCAGTCTCCATCGTGAGTCAGAGCCTGTGTTGGATGACTCCATACTGTTGCATGTCTGTCTCTACATATTGCGTCACTCTCCATCGGAGTCAGAGGCTATGTTGGATAACTCCATACTGTTGCATCTCTCTCTCTCTCTCTCTCTCTCTCTCTCTCTCTCTCTCTCTCTCTCTCTCTACATTTTTCGTCATTGTATGTTAACTTTCAACTGGCCGCCCACATTTTGTGACATTACATCATTTATCTGTTTATCGTCCAGCTTGACAACCCACACAAACACGACAATCATACTACATGTGTCTGACTGCATGCAAGTGTTCCGTCATACATGGTACTTCTGTCTGACTTCAGGCAAGTGTTCCGTCATACATTGTACTTCTGTCTGACTTCAGGCAAGTGTTCCTTTATACATTGTATTTCTGCCTAACTACAGGCAAGTGTTCCGTCATACATTGTACTTCTGTCTAATTGCAGGCAAGTGTTCCGTCATACATTGTACTTCTGCCTAACTATAGGCAAGTGTTCCGTCATACATTGTACTTCTGTCTGACTTCAGGCAAGTGTTCCGTCATACATTGTACTTCTGTCTAACTACAGGGAAGTGTTCCTTCATACATTGTACTTCTATCTAACTACAGGCAAGTGTTCCGTCATACATTGTACTTCTGTCTGACTTCAGGCAAGTGTTCCGTCATACATTGTACTTCTGTCTAACTACAGGCAAGTGTTCCGTCATACATGGTACTTCTGTCTAACTACATTCAAGTATTCCGTTATACATTGTACTTCTGTCTAACTACATTCAAGTATTCCGTCATACATTGTACTTCTGTCTAACTACATTCAAGTATTCCGTTATACATTGTACTTCTGTCTAACTACAGTCAAGTGTTCCGTCATACATTGTACTTCCGTCTAACTGCAGGCAAGTGTTCCGTCATACATTGTACTTCTGTCTAACTACAGGCAAGTGTTCCGTCATACATTTTACTTCTGTCTGACTTCAGACAAGTGTTCCGTCATACATTGTACTTCTGTCTGACTTCAGGCAAGAGTTCCTTTATACATTGTATTTCTGCCTAACTACAGGCAAGTGTTCCGTCATACATTGTACTTCTGTCTAATTGCAGGCAAGTGTTCCGTCATACATTGTACTTCTGCCTAACTATAGGCAAGTGTTCCGTCATACATTGTACTTCTGTCTGACTTCAGGCAAGTGTTCCGTCATACATTGTACTTTTGTCTAACTACAGGCAAGTGGTCCGTCATACATTGTACTTCTGTCTAACTGCAGGCAAGTGTTCCGTCATACATTGTACTTCTGCCTAACTACAGGCAAGTGTTCCGTCATACATTGTACTTCTGTCTGACTTCAGACAAGTGTTCCGTCATACATTGTACTTCTGTCTAACTACAGGCAAGTGTTCCGTCATACGTTTTACTTCTGACTAACTACAGGCAAGTGTTCTGTCATACATTGTACTTATATCTGACTGTAGGCAAGGGTTCCGTCATACACTGTACTTCTGTCTAACTAGAGGCAAGGGTTCCGTCATACATTGTATTTCTGTCTAACTGCAGGCAAGTGTTCTGTCATACATTGTACTTCTGTCTAACTGCAGGCAAGTGTTCCGTCATATATTGTACTTCTGTCTAACTACAGGCAAGTGTTCCGTCATATATTGTACTTCTGTCTAACTATAGGCAAGTGTTCCGTCATACATTGTACTTCTGTCTGACTTCAGGCAAGTGTTCCGTCATATATTGTACTTCTGTCTAACTGCAGGCAAGTGTTCCGTCATACATTGTACTTCTGTCTAACTACAGGCAAGTGTTCCGTCATATATTGTACTTCTGTCTAACTATAGGCAAGTGTTCCGTCATACATTGTACTTCTGTCTGACTTCAGGCAAGTGATCCGTCATACATTGTACTTCTGTCTAATTACAATCAAGTGTTCCGTCATACATTGTACTTCTGACTAACTACAGGCAAGTGTTCCGTCATACATTTTACTTCTGTCTGACTTCAGGCAAGTGTTCCGTCATATATTGTACTTCTGTCTAGCTACAGGCAAGTGTTCTGTCATACATTGTACTTATGTCTGACTGTAGGCAAGGGTTCCGTCATACATTCTATTTCTGTCTAACTCAAGCAAGTATTCCGTCATACATTGTACTTCTGTCTAACTGCAGGCAAGTGTTCCGTCATACATGGTACTTCTGTCTAACTATAGGCAAGTGTTCCGTCATACATGGTACTTCTGTCTGACTGCAGGCAAGTGTTCCGTCATACATGGTACTTCTGTCTAACTATAGGCAAGTGTTCTGTCATACATGGTACTTCTGTCTGACTGCAGGCAAGTGTTCCGTCATACATGGTACTTCTGTCTAACTCAGGCAAGTGTTCATTTATACATTGTACTTCTGTCTAACTGCAGGCAAGTGTTCCGTCATACATTGTACTTCTGTCTAACTACAGGCAAGTGTTCCTTTATACATTGTACTTCTGTCTAACTACAGGCAAGTGTTCCTTTATACATTGTACTTCTGTCTAACTACAGGCAAGTGTTCCGTCATACATTGTACTTCTGTCTAACTACAGGCAAGTGTTCCTTTATACATTGTACTTCTGTCTAACTGCAGGCAAGTGTTCCGTCATACATTGTACTTCTGTCTAACTACAGGCAAGTGTTCCTTTATACATTGTACTTCTGTCTAACTCAGGCAAGTGTTCCTTTATACATTGTACTTCTGTCTAACTCAGGCAAGTGTTCCTTTATACATTGTACTTCTGTCTAACTGCAGGCAAGTGTTCCTTTATACATTGTACTTCTGTCTAACTGCAGGCAAGTGTTCCGTCATACATTGTACTTCTGTCTAACTACAGGCAAGTGTTCCGTCATACATTGTACTTCTGTCTAACTACAGGCAAGTGTTCCTTTATACATTGTACTTCTGTCTAACTACAGGCAAGTGTTCCGTCATACATTGTACTTCTGTCTAACTACAGGCTAGTGTTCCGTTATACATTGTACTTCAGTCTGACTGCCGGCAAGTGTTCCGTCATACATTGTACTTCTGTCTAACTACAGGCAAGTGTTTCGTCATACATTGTACTTCTGTCTAACTACAGGCAAGAGTTCCGTCATACATTGTACTTCTGTCTGACTGCAGGCAAGTGTTCCGTCATACATTATACTTCTGTCTAACTACAGGCAAGTGTTCCATCATACATTATACTTCTGTCTGACTTCAGGCAAATGTTCCGTCATACAATATACTTCTGTCTAACTGCAACACCGTGTGCCTCATTCCTTCAAATGTTTATGAATCTATAATGTTATGTTGTCCGGTTGCTAAAATTTCGTTTCCCGCCAACAGATTACGTCTGATTTGGTGCCATGTACAACTTTTCTTTTAAAGACTACAATTTGTGATGCTATATAATAGTTATGTTGATAAAACCGGACCAAGTCACCAGTCATATACTTGTCTGGAATCAGATATTCCACTTGGGCATTGAACCAAGACCACTGTTTGGAAAGGCGGAAACACTAACTTCTATGTCACTGAGGCTTTTGTAAACTGTTATACAATTGACAGGACTGAAATGGTAACATTTCTGACAGTCATACGAACTCTAGGTTGTGGGTTTGATCGAGTCTGCTCGTGCCAGTAGGTCAGCGATCTCTCTAACAAAAATATCATTAGGATATGTGTCATTTGGATAAATCATTCAGGTAAAGAACAGTCAGACAAGGGTCTCTAGAACAAGCATCAGTCTAACATGGGTCAACGGGGCAGAGGCCAGACACGCAGGGGTTTCTCTAGAAGTCGTGAAACAAATGTATAATTAATTTATGCATTATAATATAACACATCACCTCATTCCACTACACAAACACATCACTAAGTTCAATTGCACAAACTTATCACCCAGTTCCACTACACAAACACATCACCTAGTTCTACTACACAAAAATATCATCCATTTAAACTACACAAACACATTGCCCAGTTCCACTACACAAACACATCACACAGTTCCACTACACAAACACATCACACAGTTCCACTACACAAACACATCACACAATTCCACTACACGAACACATCGCACAGTTTCACTACACGAACACATCCACGAACACATCACACAGTTCCACTACACAAACACATCGCACAGTTTCACTACACAAACACATGTCACAGTTTCACTACACAAACACATCACACAGTTCCACTACACAAACACATCACACAATTCCACTACACAAACACACCACACAGTTCCACTACACAAACACATCACACAGTTCCACTACACGAACACATCTACGAACACATCACACAGTTCCACTACACGAACACATCCACGAACACATCACACAGTTCCACTACACGAACACATCCACGAACAAACACATCACACAGTTCCACTACACAAACACATCCACGAACACATCACACAGTTCCACTACACGAACACATCGCACAGTTCCACTACACGAACACATCCACGAACACATCACACAGTTCCACTACACGAACACATCACCTAGGTCCACTAAACAAACATACCACCTACCTCCAGAGCCACAGCTTGCCGGGCTGCTGCCACTGAGACCTGCTCGTACAGCTGGCAATTGTGAATGCCTAGACCACAGAAAATGGCGAATGCCTGGGAAAGAGAAGATCACATCCAAGAGTCAGACACTCGACTTTTAGTTGTCTTCTGTCGATTCTCTCTTAAAGGAAGAACTATCGAATAGGCATCTCACAACAAAGCCCTTTCTTAAACATAACATGTACAAGTGCGGACATACGTGCGTGCAGACACACACACACGCGCACATACACACACACACACACACACACTGTGTGGTAGATTTAGACACTTGAAACATTTTAGGAGCTTGTGAAAACACTCGATGGTCCACGTCATTCGGCATGCCGCTTGATGGACTGAACATCCGTAATGCTAAATGAATGCAAATCTGTACAGGGTGCCGACAACCGTCAAGAGGATCCTGGCCATTTCTCTGCCACTATGTATGACATTATGTGGCAGAAAGAGAATACTGACTGACAGGTTTTGTTGAAGTGACTGACGGGTTATGTTGAAGTGATTGACAGGTTATGTTGAAGTGACTGACGGGTTATGTTGAAGTGACTGACGGGTTATTTTGAAGTGAATGCCATGTTATGCTGAAGTGACTGATTGGTTATGTTGAAGTGACTGATTGGTTATGTTGAAGTGACTGACGGGTTATGGCGGCGAATCTGTGAATGCCTACGAAAACATGAGGAGGAGTTTGAAGACGTTAGATATGGCTCTTGGGGGCAATGCTATCAGAAGAAATATCCGATAGCCAGCAAGAAATATCAGATAGCCAGCAAGAAATATCAGATAGCCAGCAAGAAATATCAGATAGTCAGCAAAAAGTATCAGATAGTCAGCAAGAAATATCAGATAGCCAGCAAGAAATATCAGATAGTCAGCAAAAAGTATCAGATAGTCAGCACGAAATATCAGATAGCCAGCAAGAAATATCAGATAGCCAGCAAGAAATATCAGATAGTCAGCAAGAAATATCAGATTGGCAGCAGGAAATATCAGATAGCCAGCAAAAAAAATCAGATAGCCAGCAAGAAATATCAGATAGTCAGCAAGAAATATCAGATTGGCAGCAGGAAATATCAGATAGCCAGCAAGAAATATCAGATAGCCAGCAAGAAATATCAGATAGCCAGCAAGAAATATCAGATAGCCAGCAGGAAATATCAGATATTCAGAATAAGTGCTAACGACTGGTTGCGAAAAAGCAGAAGAAAATACAACAGTACTGCTATCTGTAAGAGATCGTGCTGTGCAGTTCTGAGATGATTGCGGGATATGGAGACAACTGAAAACATCAGAGATAGAAGATGCAGAAGTGGACAGAGATACACGCTGCTAAGTGGTCATAGACAGTTGCACGGAAGTATATCATCAACAACAGTTACAGAATAGACCAGTGACGAAAATCTGTAGAAAGCTATGAATATCTACGCCATCAAGGCACGTTACGGTGCTTATGATATAATTTCGGATGAAATGATCTCTTCTTTAACAGTTAACACTTTATCATCATAATTATCTTAATCACTGTCACCAACGTTATCATCACCATTTTCACCATCTCCACCTTCATCATCACCACCTTCATCATCACCACCTTCATCATTACCACCTTCATCATCACCACCTTCATCACCACCTTCATCACCACCTTCATCATCACCACCTTCATCATCACCACCTTCATCATCACCACCTTCACCATCACCACCTTCATCATCACCACCTTCATCATCACCACCTTCATCACCACCTTCATCACCACCTTCATCACCACCTTCATCATCACCACCTTCATCATTACCACCTTCATCATCACCACCATCACCACCTTCATCACCACCACCTCCATCATCACCACCTTCATCATCACCACCTTCATCACACCTTCATCATCACCACCTTCATCACCACCTTCATCATCACCACCTTCACCATTACCACCTTCATCATCACCACCTTCATCATCACCACCTTCATCATCACCACCATCACCACCTTCATCATCACCACTTTCATCATCACCACCTTCATCATCACCACCTTCATCATCACCACCTTCATCATCACCACCTTCATCACCACCTTCATCATCACCACCTTCACCATTACCACCATCACCACCTTCATCGTCACCACCTTCACCATTACCACCATCACTACCTTCACCATCATCACCTTTATCAGCATCATTATCACTGTCATCATCATAATCAGCTGTAGCCTTCAGTATCCTTGCCCTGAGATAATTTCTGCCTCCATGCCCGGGCTTTCTACAAATTGCCAGCTTAATGTACCCTCTCTACCGCTGTCAGGTTATATTTATGCAACAACGATGAATGCACTCTTCTTGTCATCTTGAAAAAATGTAGTCAACAATGAAAAGGTTAAAGTTCAAATACCTCAAACAAAAGGTCGTCGTGATCATCGAACGGAAGACCGTCCAGTCTGTTGACCACCTGTGCCACACCTGTAGAGTGAAGATAGACAACATGTTTTCACAGGAGGCTCCTCCTTTCATGAGCTGGTCAGTTCTGTGCAGCAAAAACAATCAACCAGCCAACCAAGTAGCCAGGCAATCAACCAATCAGTCGGATAACCAATCAATCAACACTAACGAACGAACGAATGAAGCAGCTGATCAGCCAATCAAATAGTTAGCAAATTAACAATCATACGGATAACCAACCGATCAGCACTAACCAACAAACCAGTGAAGCAGCCAACCAGTCAGTCAAGTAGCCAAATTATCAACCAACGTATCAAAAACAATTCAAAAAGCCAATCAACTAACCTACCAATCAACAAACAACTGAATCTCCCTAATAGCCAGCCAATGAAACAGTTGCGAGGAGGGGGGGGGGGGGGGGGTGTCAGAATCCACACGGACCAGCATATTAGAGCGTTAAGACGCCAAGCATTCATGGAAAGGAATGATTTATCTAGAAACGGACCTCTGATATCTTCCAGACAACTAGCAGAAGTAACAAAGCTCATAGAAATAAAAAATCGATTTGCATAGACACCGGAACCTAGGAGCTCAGACACATTAGCCCCCTCCTTCCCGTTCTCCCGATAAAATTTGGTATGTGATAAGTTGCTCCTCAGCCATTTACATACATTCTCGTTTCGAGCATTTTTTTTTTTTTAATAGGTTATATTGTTTCAAATATATTATATTTATTTATAGGTTTTATTGTTTCAAATATATGATATTTATTTATAGGTTTTATTGTTTCAAATATATGATATTTATTTATAGGTTTTATTGTTTCAAATATATGATATTTATTTATAGGTTTTATTGTTTCAAATATATGATATTTATTTATAGGTTATATTGTTTCAAATATATGATATTTATTTATAGGTTATATTGTTTCAAATATATGATATTTATTTATAGGTTTTATTGTTTCAAATATATGATATTTATTTATAGGTTATATTGTTTCAAATATATGATATTTATTTATAGGTTTTATTGTTTCAAATATATGATATTTATTTATTGGTTATATTGTTTCAAATATATGATATTTATTTTTAGGTTTTATTGTTTCAAATATATGATATTTATTTATAGGTTATATTGTTTCAAATATATGATATTTATTTATAGGTTTTATTGTTTCAAATATATGATATTTATTTATAGGTTATATTGTTTCAAATATATGATATTTATTTATAGGTTTTATTGTTTCAAATATATGATATTTATTTATAGGTTTTATTGTTTCAAATATATGATATTTATTTATAGGTTATATTGTTTCAAATATATGATATTTATTTATAGGTTTTATTATTTCAAAAATATGATATTTATTTATAGGTTTTATTGTTTCAAGTTGTGAAAACACTCAAAGACCAACCCTACGTCCTCGTCGTGAGAGGTGGTAACAGGACAAAGTAGGGGATTGCTAGGTGTGGGCGAAGTATGGTGTGGCCTCGTGCCACGGGACCGCTACGGTAGCCATAAAGGCCACCCTTTGTCACCCCGAAACGTCCTGGCCAACTGGGCTCTGGTGAAGTTGCGACAGGCCTAGCAAGCCGGCAATGGATTTTTTACCGCTACAAAAATCAAAATGAGATATAAACGGACTGATCACACGGTATCTGACCATGGCAATGTTAAGGGACTACGAGACAGAACAGCGAAATACAAGATTGCAACACTCAACACCGCTGGCCTAGGAAATAAAACAGAAGAGATAATTGAAATGATGGAAAAAAGGAAAATCAAGTTAATGGGGCTAGCTGACATAAGACGCAAGGGAAATATTAATAAGAAAATACACAGAGGCTACTTACTAACATATGCAGGAGGAGAAACATCGAAGAATGGAGTGGGTTTCCTGGTACAGCCGGACATATCTAACTACATATTAGACATACATTATCACTCAGATAGAATTATTACTTTGAAAATTAAAAGAGGAGAACAAGCTGAAACATATATACAGATATATGCACCATGCAATGATAATTATACAGAAGAGCAGAAAGATGAATTCTTTGACGATCTGTCTGATGAGATAAAGAAAGTTGAGGGAAGCAGCATACTATATGTAATGGGTGACTTCAACGGGAGGGTAGGAAATAACAGAAGAGAATACGAACAGTTTTTAGGTCCATATGCAGCTAAGAACAGTGCTAGAAATGGAAATGGTCAAAGAATATTGGATCTATGCAGCCAGCACAATCTTTTTATTACTAACACATTCTTCGACCATAGAGATTCACAACTTTACACTTAGTACAAATGGAATGATATCTCCATCAAGAGCCAGATTGACTTTATTCTTACCAGAGTTCAAGGAAGAAGGAGAATTCTTGATTCAAGAGCAATCCCTAATGGTCTATGTGACACTGACCATAAAATAGTTGTGTTAACAGCAAAACATCTTACATTAAAGAAACGCAGAAAGAAATTAAACAAAAACAAGGATCTCATCAAGATAGCAAATCTGAAACAGGAAGGAGTAAAAGAACAGTTACAACAGAAAGTAGAGACAGCATTCAAACAACTTCCACATGTAGTTGGCAATATTGAGGAAGAATGGAGTATATATAAAAACACTATGCTTAGTATTGCAGAAGAATTATGTGGAAAACGGAAGAGTGGAAACAGACGGGGAAACAACAAATATTCACCTTGGTGGTGCGAAGAAGTAAAAGAAGCAATTAAAAAGAAAAAAGACATATAAACAGTGGATAAAATCAAAGAAAGAAGAAGATTATATAAACTATAGACTGCAAAGAAGAGAAACCAACAGGAGTGTCAAGAAAGCAAAACAAGCATCCTGGGAACGTTTCGGTGAGTCACTAGCAGAAAATGAGAAAACAGCCAGCAGAAAAATTTTCAAAGTGGTTAAAAATATGCGGAAAAGAGATGAAAGCTACAACCCCACTGAAATAATTAATGATAAGACAGGAAGACCATTTATAGATCCACCCAAAATAGAAGAAAGATGGAGGGAATACTTCAATGAGCTCTTTAATCCTCTAGGAAATCATCAGGAAAGAACAACTGAAGAGCACAGAGCAACAGTGTTAGAACCAAACATACTAATGGATGAAATAGAAAAAGTCATTAAACAGTCTCCCAAATATAAAGCACCAGGAGCTGATAGATTACCAACAGAAATAATTCAAGCAGCAGGTGAAAGCAGTATCAGATGGCTTCACAGAATATTCAATGCAGCATGGGTACAACAAACGGCCCCTATTGATTGGCAACATGCAATAGTTATACCATTGTGGAAGAACAAAGGAAGCAAACGAGAATGCGGTCAATACCGAGGCATCTCTCTTTTAAGCCATGTTGGCAAAATGTATGCCAAGATAATAGAAACAAGACTGAGACCAGTGATAGAACCACAACTGGCAGAAGAACAGATCGGATTTAGGAGAAATAGAAGCTGCACAGATGCAATCTTCACACTTAAACAGTTAATAGAAAAGAACATTGAATACAATAAGAACTTATTTGTGTCATTCGTAGACCAGGAGAAGGCATTTGACAGAGTCGACAGACAATTATTATGGAAAATAATGGCAAGATATGGAGTGAGCGAACACCTCATCGAAGTGTGCAAAAGTTTATACAGGGATTGTAGAAGTGTAGTTAGAATAAATCAGGGAACATCTCATCCTTTCACAGTGACATCGGGAGTAAGACAGGGGTGTGTCTTATCACCACTGCTGTTTATCACCTACATCGACAGTATATGCAAGAATGCCAAGCCCATGAATGAAGATCTAAGTAAGATCAACGAATTACTCTTTGCAGATGACCAGGCCTTGATAGCAGATACAGCCATGAAATTGCAACAACATCTAACATCCATGAATGAAGAATGTAAAACAAATAATATGAGAATCAACACTGAAAAGACAGAAGTAATGTCAATAGGAAAAAGAAGACAGATCTAAACATAGCAATAGAATACAAAGGCATTAAACAGGCATCTGAGTTTAAATATCTGGGAACTACATTTACCGAAGATGGGAAATTGGGTAAAGAAATTGACATTAGATGCAGTAAAGCAAACCAAGTATTGGGACAGCTAGCTCCCCTCTTACAGCATAAGACAATCCCAATCAGCACAAAGAGACATCTTATTCAAAGCATATTTATTCCAACTCTGTGCTACCAGTGCCAGACATGGTCACTCACAACAAACCATAAAAGAAAATTAGTAACCACGGAAATGAGATGTCTGAGAAGGGCCGTAGGAGTGACCATAAGAGATAAGATCAGGAATGAGATCATAAGAGAACAAGTCGGCACAGAACCAATTCTGGATTACATACAAAGACAGCAAGTGAAATGGTTTGCCCACTTAGAGAGAATGCCTTGTGACACCATACCATACAAAGCATACATGGAAAGAGAAGAAGGACGTAGAGCACGGGGTAGACCAAGAACAAGACGGAAGGATAACATCAGAGAAACTCTACAACAGCACGATGTGCCTATGGTCGAGGCAGCCAGAAGAGCTAGAAACAGAACCTTATATCTCCCTCGACACCCACAGCGGTAAAAGAGGAAGTGAAGAGGAAGAATTGTTTCAAGTATATGATATTTATTTATAGGTTATATTGTTTCAAACATATGATATTTATTTATAGGTTATATTGCTTTAAATATGTGATAATTATTTTTAGGCTAGATTGTTTCAAATATATGAGAATTATTTATAGGTTAGATTGGTTCAAATATATGATGTTTATTTATAGGTTATATTGTTTCAAATATATGATATTTATTTATAGATTATATTGCTTCAAATATATGATGTTTATTTATAGGTTATATTGCTTCAAATATATGATATTTTTTTATAGGTTATATTGTTTCAAATATATGATATTTATTTATAGGTTATATTTTTTCAAATATATGATATTTATTTATAGGTTATATTGTTTTAAATATATGATATTTATTTATAGGTTGTA